AATAGAATCACGATAAACGTAGTTTTTTACACTAACAGTATGTCTTAGAGATGTTATGTCATTATCTAGGGCTCTACCTTTTTTTTTTTTTATTTGGTGCTATCTTTTTCCTTGTACGTGCCTCATGTTATTCGATAGACTAAATGATATTGTTAAAATTAACCATTTCTCAGTTGATGGACATTTAAGTAGTTTCTGTTGTTTTACTATAATCAACAATGCTATAAGGAAAATTTCTGTATATACCTTTTTGTGTACATGTAAATATCAAGAAGTAGAATTACCAAATTTGATGATAAATCCTGTTAGCATTTTAATTGGTACTGCATTGAATTTAGTTTATTTGGGAGAGTATTGATATCTTTATAATATTGTTTTCACATCCAGGAACATGACCCATATCTTCCTATGAGTGTTACAAGTTTTCTCACATAGGTCTTACACATTCCTTGATCAAAATATATCAAAAGTTATCAAGTTTCATGTATTGAATTTGTTTGATCCTCAGGTGTTTCTTTTATTTCTTCTAGTGACTTCTTGCTGCTAGTTTTGAAGGACATTGTGTTGCAGAGGCCAACTCTTCAAGTTATTCTAATGAGTGCAACTTTAAACGCCGAACTCTTTTCAGAATATTTCAATTTCTGCCCAGTTATTACTATACCAGGTGATTAAAATGCATCAGTAAATATGTGCCATTCTAATAAGCAAATAAAATTATTTCAAAGTTCAATCGAGACGTAAATTAGTAGGCATTTACACCTCTTTCTAGAGGAGAAGTGATTTGTTTACAACAAAATCATGAAATGCATCAGTAAATATGTGCCATTCTAATAAGCAAATAAAATTATTTCAAAGTTCAATCGAGACATAAATTAGTAGGCATTTACACCTCTTTCTAGAGGAGAAGTGATTTGTTTACAACAAAATCATAACCATATAATGCAATTGATATGAGGTAACATTATATCCATTTGCCAGGAGTTTTCAATTTTGTATGTGACTTATTTAAAAAACTTAGTTATTTAGGATTTCTAGCATTCCATTGTGTTTAACATCAAAATGTGAGTTTATAGTGATAGTCTGTCATAAAGAGGGAAATTGTGTCTGTGTATAGTGTATTTGTTCATTTCTGAATTCTACTAAGTTTCTGGATATTTGTCCATTCTGGGAGAGAATTGTTGGGGAGTCTGTGTTTTCTTTTGGTGTTTTCATAGTCTCATTTTAGGATTAACTTATCACCCTGGGCTTTGGTTTATCCTTCTGCAATTGATTACCAAAGGGACAATTTGGAAGCATTGACTGATGAATAGTAGTATTTGTTCTAGTTGAACAGGATGTTGACAGTAGATTTAAAGAATAAACTGTATGTTTGATCTAGCAATTGTTGAATGTTTAAAGGTCCCCTGTGCAGGGAGGGGGTATGGTGGGAAAGGTGTAACAGGTAAAAAAGTCTTATTAGCAAATTATTATTTCTCTACCTATATACTTCTGTTCTCTTTACTAACTGGAAACTACCCCTTCCAATTTCTGTCATCAGAAACTTGATACTTTCAAGACCACAGGACAAATAGTGCCTTATTGTGCCAAGCTTTGTTTTAAGAGAATGTTACATTTATAAACTATTTCAAGATAGTTGAATGGGTATTTTGAAACTTTTCTATTTTATTTTCTTGTTATTCTAGGTCGTACATTTCCTGTTGATCAATTTTTTCTGGAAGATGCAATTGCTGTGACAAGGTAAAGAAGATATTAATTAAGGTTCAGTGAAAATCTTTGAAAACAAAATATTATTTTACCCTGAATACGCCAGGATACTAATACCTGTATTAGTCTTTCTTCCAATTTCTCTATTTAAGTATTTTGTTTTCCTTTTTCTTTCAGCAAACAGGCTGTCAGTATTTAAATACCTTCATTTACTAACTGTAACTTTGGAAAGTAGCTAATCTCACCGTGCCTCAGTTTCATCATATGTAAAATGGGTGTATTAATAGTAGCTACTTTACAGAATTGTTATGAGGATTAATTAACGACTTAGTACTTGCAAAGTGCTTAGACCTGTGCCTGACACATAGTACCTGCCTTGTAAATATTAGCTATTATTATCATTATCATTGCTCTCAAGAAGTTTGCAGTATAGTCTGAGTGTTAAGATTTCTGTAAGAATAATTTCAGTCCCAGCTAGCAAATGGTAATATCCATTGTATACAAACAGATTTCTGTCCTTTGAAAGTCATACTTCCTCTTCCTACTCTTTGACCTTGAGGATCCCCCAAGATTTTATCCTTGTACTGTGTTTTCTCACTATTAAACTCTCCCTTGACTGTATTAGACTCATGTGATTTCAACTGTCATCTTAGCATCTTCATTCATGACTTCTGAGCTCCAGAATGAAAACACTCCTGATGTCTGGTATTTTAAATGCAACTCAAAATTTTTCTCCTTCTTCTGCCCTCTCCGTCTCTAATAAATCCCCCTCCTAATTCCATATATATTTAATGGTACCATATTCTGAAGCTAAAAACCCAAAACCAGTGGCTCTCAAATTTTAGTGTGCAATATGAATACTTAAGGAGTTTATTAAAATTATTATTTTCTGGGCCCTATCCCACTCCCATTGAATATGAGTTTCGGGGGAAATCATCTTTCAATTAGTTTACTTGTCTTTACTTTCTCACTTTTTTCAAACTCACTACCTCTGGATTATCTTTAAATGTCGAATTGGTCATGTTCCTCCTTCGCCTAAAACTTTCATTGGCTCCCTATTACCCACATTCTGTGGACACTCAAGGTCCATATCAGCTGACCCCAGCCTATATTTAACCTCCCTTCTTACTTATTCTTAGCACTACTATCAGACTACTTGCTGTTTCTCAAATATGCTATACCATCACTGTCTTATGGTTGGTTTTTTTTTTTTGGCGGCTGGCTGGTATGGGGATCCAAACCCTTGACCTTGGTGTTATAACACTGTGCTCTGACCAACTGAGCTAACTGGCCAGCCCGTCTTTCTGTTTTTATTCCTTTCTCCCTCTTCCTTACCTAATCATTCTTTAACACCCAACTTGAATGCTACCTCCATGAAACTTCCTATTTTCTTCTATTTGAAATTAATCATTTCTTTATTAGAAGTCATAGCTTTATTCCTTTCTCCCTCTTCCTTACCTAATCATTCTTTAACACCCAACTTGAATGCTATCTCCATGAAACTTCCTATTTTCTTCTATTTGAAATTAATCATTTCTTTATTAGAAGTCATAGGGTACTTTTCTTATGCCTCTAATGACATTTATTTCCATCTGTCTTGCAGTATGGTGAATTGTTTTGGTCTGTTCTGGATAGTTTGTAAGTTCCTTGAAAGAGTTCATTTTTTTATACCACACCACCATCACCACCACCACAGTCCCTTGAACAAAGTAGGCATTTGGTAAATTTTAAGTGTACAAATGAGTGTTGAATGTTGAATGTGAAGATAAAACATGGCATTTGATGGAGGGAAGAGGTTGGAGGAAGTGAAAGATTAGAATCATAGGTTTTTAGACCTTTTTTTAAAGGCTACAATGCACTTTCTGCAAGTGAAGTCTTACAGGAAATCATAGAGAAATGAGAGCTAAAATAGGAATGATCTGGCTGAAAAAGGTTAGATGGGGAAGACAGAGCCCTCCTTGCTTACTGGGCTCCCATTCCTTACCTTTCCCTGGGGCTCTGGGAAATCTTTAGAGCTCCAGGAAAAATAGTTTCAAACATATCTAAGCCAATTTCCCCAAAAGATGGGAAAAGAAAGCCCTTTGAAATTGACTTACTGAAAGTCTCATAATAAGTTGGTTTAGTGGCAGACCTAGAACTTAAATTCAGAGCTTTTGGTTTCAAATCTAATCATTTTTCCACTTTGCCATGATGTCTAATAGTATTATCACTACAAACACTAAACTGTCTAATCAGAAAAAGTTTTGAAATGTTTTGAGGACAGTCTTGTGGAGATTGTTCAGCCAGCAACTGGAGATTTGGTCAAGATCTAAATTTGTTTGCAACAAAGGGAAGTCAGCTGCCTGGGAATTTTAGTTGAAACTTTGGGAGTCGATGATATTGCCGAAGAAGAAAATAAAATGAGGAGGGGTGTTACTGAAGATACAACTCAAATGTGTTTTCTGAAAGTCTGTGTCTGTTTCTTGGATGGGGATTTTCTCCAAATTCTTATCTGGTCTCCTAGACAGAACCAAAAGCATTCCACACTGTATTCCCAACAGAAATAGGGCGCAGCCGGCAGAATCCTGGACAGGTGGAAGGATAGCACAAATTGGGCAGAAACAGAATGACATTCTGCCAAATGAGCATATAAAATAGTTCCTCACCAACAGACCCACATAAATAGACACATTACTTTGTTTCTTCCTTCCTCAGGTATGTGTTACAGGATGGGAGCCCATATATGCGCTCCATGAAACAGATTTCAAAGGAAAAGCTTAAAGCAAGGCGCAACAGAACTGCATTTGAGGAAGTTGAGGAAGACCTGAGGCTCTCCCTTCACCTCCGGGATCAGGATTCTGTCAAAGACTCAGTGCCAGATCAACAGTTAAATTTTAAACAGCTCTTGACCCGCTATAAAGGTAATGTACTTTCTGTGGCAGTAATACTGTAATACAGTTACGCCAAAGATTTCTAGTATATTTCCTCATCATGATCCAGAAGAAGAAAAATATGGCTCTTGTTTCATAGTTACATTGCCTTTAATTCATCAGAACAACCTTAAATTTAAAAAAAGAGCAGTTCCGATACTATTTACCAGTGAGTTTTTTTCAGATTATAAAAGAAATATGTGTTCATTAGAGAAAAATTGGGAGGTAGTCAAATATAAATTATATTCTTGAGTATTTGGTAACTTTATATTTTGATGCGATTTCAAATGTACAGAAAAGTTTGGAAGACTATACAGTGAACTCACTTTATACAGAGACTATCTAGTGACTGTATAGTGAACTCACTCATACCCTTTACCCCAATTCACCAGTTGTTAATAATTTTGCTTCATTTGCTTTATCATTTGCTCTGTGTGCATGCATGTATTTTTTTTGCCTGAATCTCTTGAGATGTGATACCCCTTTGTATATTTCCTTTTTTTTTTATTTTATTTTTTTATTTTGTCAATATACAATGTAGTTAGTTATTGTGTCCCATCACCAAAACCTCCCTCCCTC